TCTCTGTGGCCTAGTAAAGCCACCTCGCCAGGGGGAGGTGATCAAAGAGCAGGCAACCAAGTTCATGTCAGAGACAGCCCCTGCTTCCCTTTCTAGGGCACCCCCATGGAGACTGAGCTGCCTATGGGCTACATCTGAGCAGGGGGGCTGGGACCTCTCCATGCATGGTCCTTGGTTGGTGCATCAGTCTCTGCAGGTCCCCCTGGGCCCAGACATTTTGGTACTGTTGCTCTTCTTGTGGAGCTCCTTTCCCCTCCAGGTCTTTCTATCTCCCCCTTCTTCCCTAAGACTCTCTGTATTTTGTCCAAAGTTTGGTTTTGAGTCTCAGCATCTGCTTTGATACCGTGCTGGGTAGAGTCTTTCAGAAGTCCTCTGTGGTAGGCTCCTATCCCATTCCTTATCTTCTCCTATTTCTGATGTCCATCCTGTTAGTCCTTCTGGATAAGGATTAAGCCTCTTCCTTAGGGTCTTCCTTGTTGTTTATTTTCTTTAGGACTATAGATTTTAGTATGTTTATCCTATATTATATGGCCAATATCCACTTATAAGTGAGTGTATACCATGCCTGTCTTTCTGCTTCTGGGTTACCTCACTCAGGATGATCTTTTCTAGTTCCATCCATTTGCCTGCAAATTTCACGATTTCCTTGTTTTTGTCCTAGGTATTTCAAATAAATGCAGTCATGCAATTTGTGGTGTGTGTATGTGTGTGTGTGTGTGTGTGTGTGTGTGATGCAATCTGAGGGGTGTCTCTGTGTAATGCAATCTGAGGTATGTGTGTGTGTGTGTGTGTGTGTGTTTGTGTCCCCATCTATGTGCATATGGAGGCCAGAGATCAACCTTAGCTTGCTTATTTTTAAATTGGATAGTCTACACTCTTACTGTTGAGCTATTAGAACTTTTATGCTGTGGAGCCAAATTTGTTCTCAGATACAATCTGGAGCTGTTTCGTCTCACGCAGTGCATTGTCTTTTCGTTTTCTGGACGGACGCTTCCCTTTGATGCACAAAAGCTTTTAATTTCAGTGAAGTCTGACTTTCTTTTTTTTCCTATTGTTAAAGGTTCAGAGTTACATTTAAGATATGATTACAGAACCCGAGCTTTTGGAGAGTTATGCCTATACCCTCTCTGAGCTTGTGATCTACTTTGAGTTAAGTTCTGCACATGATTTGCAAAAAGGGATCCAACTTGATCTTTTGCACGTGGTATTCCTTGTTGTCCCAGCATCATTTGTTGAAAACACATGGGCTTTCTCACTGAATTGTTTTTTTGCCCTTATTGAAAACCAATTGGCCGTGAACGAAGGACTTTATTTCTGGATCATCGGTTCCATTTCATGGCTGTATGTACATCCTTATGCTAACACTGCAGCCTTCATTCCCACAGCTTGGGCAGTGTGATTTTTTTGTTGTTGTTGTTGTTAAATATTTCAGTAAATATTTTATTTTTTTTCTGATACTATTGTAAATGTGACCCCCTTTCTAATATAATTTTGGAGTATTCATTGCTCATGCTTAGAAACACAATGACATTTGTCTATTGACTTTTGTCTTCTGCAACTCTGCTTAACTTATTTCTTAGTTTTCATAGTTTTTTGCTTTTAGAGTCTTCAAGATTTTATATATATGGAGATCACGCCCTATATATTAATTCTTTCTTTCTAATTTGATGGATTTTATTTTCTTTTTCCTTACTCAATTATCTTATAGCATTGAATAGAATTGAAAAGACTGGGCATTTTAATCTATTCCTGATCTTAATGAACGTCTTCAGCCTCTTACCGGGAAGCATGATGCTCAGGGTAAGTTTCTAGCAGATGTCCTTTCTCAGGTTAAGACGTTTGTGTCTATTTTTAGTTGTTGGATGTTATCATGAAATGATGTTGGGTTTTTCTCAGGCACATTTTCTGAACCTATTGAGATGATTACATGTGTCATGTTCCTTAGTTTATTAATATGGTATTTTACATCAATAGGCTTTCTTGTTTTGAGCCAACCTTGCATTCTTGCAACAAATTCTACTTCGACAACTTTTTTTTTTCTAAACTAAACATATATTTAAAAAGAACTGTTTGTTACCTTATTTAGGAGCTGAAGTCAAGGCAGGTTAAAGAGTAGCACTTCTTTAAAATGTATGAGCCTGTTAGGGGCAGTCTCCTGGCTCAGGGAGTTTCAAAGTTTATAAATAATTTCCACATTATTTCTTACTGGTGGATCTTTGAATAATAGTACAGACAAATGTCTATTCATATTCTCTTGACCCTCTCTAGAGCCAATAATGAACACAGAGATACATTTTTCTTTTTCAAAGTTATGCCAGAGAATTTGAGGGATGAGGAAAAGAGAAAAATTATCTGTAATCTTAATGCTTTGTCAAGACTATGGATAAATCTTGGGAGGTCAAGGACTATGTTAGTTGAGATACGCAGAAACAAATCATCATTTGTGGGGAATACAACTCTACAAATTTTGATAAAGGCCTGAGTCATGTAGCAAGATATCGCAACCATGCACACCATCAAAAGCTTCCCTTGTGCCCCTTGATAGCCTTCATCCATTCAGAGTGCCTGGAAACAACCAATCTGTCCTCTGACCCATAATTTTGCTTTTTCCAGGATATCATCTGAGGATAATAATGTGATTTATAATAAAGTTTCATTTCTTTCACTTAGTGACACTGTGTCTGGAATTAATATGTGTTGTGTGCAGCTTGATATTTAGCTCACTGTGTGGTTGTGTTGATATTTGTTGCTCACTTGCCAGTTGACAAACATTTGAGTAGTTGTTGTTGGTCTTTTTTTTTTTGTGGGGCATTTGTGAATATTAAAGCTACCATAGTGTTCTAATTCATGCTTTGGTGAGGATGTTATTTTATTTCTCTTAGGTTAATATTTAGAAGAAGGATTGCTGGCTCATATGGTAGCATGTTTGGCCTGGTAAGAATTGCCCAACTGTTAATATGTGGGATGTCCAAATGTTCACTAACTTCCTAAAACTTGGTGTGGTCAGTTGGCCTCATTTTGCTTTGACCTTGGCTACTGTTGATGGTGTGTATGTGTGTGTGTTTTAACTTTTTATTGATGTCTTGTGAGTTTCACATCATGCATTCCAGTCCTGCTCATCTCCCCATCCCCTCCTATCTGCTCTTCATTCTTGCAGCCTCCCCCCAAAATAAAACACACAAATAAACAAACAAACAAACAGCAGCAGCAGCGGCAGCAACAACAACAAAACCCAAAGCATAGAAAAACATCCCATCATGGAAGCTGTATGTCACAGTATATCCCTCTGTCCACACATCTTCACTTGCAAATGTTCTTTGCAATGAGTTGTCAGTCTGGCCCGAGATCTCTGGCTTCTGCGACACCATCAATACTGTATCCCCACTAAGACTCCTCCTGGTTATCCTGTTGTTGCCCTGTGTCTTGGAGATTTCTCAGCCCTGGATCAGCAGGACAGCCCCTTCACACATCCCAACCATTCACAGATGATATATATTTTGGGGGACCAACTCAGAGCCTGGATGGTAGCTGATCCGGTCAGCCCGCCAGCTCTCCCTCATCTCCACTGCCAGGGTGAGCTCGCCAGCACTGCTTCTGCTAGGCCATGCAATGCCACCATCTGGAGGAGGCAGGGTCAACTTTCCTGCCCTCATGCCCTCAGAGCCAGCTCCACTGTGTGGCACAGTCAAGGTGCAGGGGCCCACTCTCCCACGTGCTGCAGCCTATGAGGGGCTGGGGCAGCTCTCCCACTCTCATACTCTGGGGGCTGGCCCACTCATGCCTTTGCCATCAGGGCCAGCTTCACTGTGTTACTCAGAGGAGCTATAGCCTTATATAGTAAGGGGGCAGGGCTGGCCCTCCCACTCCATGACCTCAGGGCCAGTTCTCCCTACTGCTGAAGGTGGTGAGAAAATGGGGAAGGACATTACCCCTGTACCCAAAAGACCTCACATCAGAAGAGTGACAGGGCTAGCCACTCTTTTGAACCTGCACTCTCCCCTCGGGGCTGGCTTTCCCTCACCCTTCTATCAACACCAACCCTACTTTGTTGCCCAGGCAAGGTGTAGGGCCCTTTCTCCCGAGTGCTGAAGCTGGTGAGGAGCAAGGAGGTGGAGGGCATCTTCCCACCCCACAGGACACCTCATGGCTGATGAATGGTAGGGCCAACTCTCCCATGCTCTTAACCTCAGGGCTGGCTCACCTACATTTCCACCATCAGGGTCAGCTTTCCTGTGCTATCCAGGTGAGGTGCAGGGTCTACTTTCCTGAGTGCTGCAGCTGGTGAGGGGCAGGGTAGCTCTCCGGAGCTCATGACTAGAGGTGGTGTTGTGGGGGGGCATCACCTCTATGCCCATGACAACCAATGGCAGACAAGTGGCAAGGTTAATTCTCCCATATTCAGGACCTCAGGGCCAGATTACCCATACCCTGCGACAAGAGCAAGCTCTACTCTGCTGTCTAGGGGAGACACAGGGCCTGCTCTCCTGAGTGCTGCCAGTAGTAAGAGGTGGTGCTGGCTCTCCAGAGTGCCACATCCACTGAGGGGTGGGGCCAGCTATGCACAGCCACTGGACATCCATGTGGCCCCTGACCAGGAGTCTCCATGTTCTCTAGTGGAAATATGAACCAAGGACATCGCGCCACCCCTGCCCTGCAAAGCCATGAACCCAGACATGGCCTTCAGCAGCAGCTCTGGCTGGGACTTCTCTATAGCCCCAGGTGATGGGGCTGACCACTCACCTCAGGCTACTCCTCTCTACTCTGGACTCTCCAGTCCTATCTCTTTTTGTAATGCTCAAGCTGCTCCACTTCTCTTTCTCTCTCATCTGACCACCACACACTGTGGTGGTTTCTGCTGCAGGCTGAGCACATGGCTGGTAGGCTCCTGGTTGACATTCTCCATTGGTGCTGCACTGTGCTGGAGGGCAGGTCTGTGGGTGGCATGGTGGTCCACAGGTCTCTGTCCTCCTGCGCGGTGTAGCCTGGATTTGATTTGATTTTCATGAGTCCCAGGCACAAGACCGCTTTGGCCACCAAGCCAGGCATCCAGCTAGGATGAACAAAGGGCTGCCAACTGCTCTGCCCCTGACTGATAGAAGAACACCACCACCACCAAGGGGTCTCTTTGCCCATTGTCAGGAGGGTTGGCCTTGGCTTTTAATCCCCTTTGGGAGTGTAGTCGTCTCAGTGGCTGCCGTCATTTTGATGCGTTTCTGTCTTTTTGCACATGTGTTTGTTTTGTACGTAAGGGAAATCCTAGTGGACTTTCAATTTTATGAACTAGCTTTTCCTATAATAGTAAAAGGAGCCTTTCCCACACGGTGACCTTTGCAAGATCGGCAAATACTCAAGGAGTGGACGAGATACCAGCACCTCCTGTGGGGCTGGGTTGATTTCGATTTTTGTCATCATAAGTCATACTGCAATAACCAACTTCCCAGATTAGCTCTCTCATCTTCTGGGATAGCTTTTAAGGACAGAGTCCCAGAAGTGGGGTTCCCAGGTCAAAAGTATAAACATTTTTATGTCTTTGGATTGCTTTCTGAAATGTTGTATCTACTTACAAGACCAACAGGGATATGCAACAGAAACAGTTTGAGATACCAGAATGAGAAAACTTTTAAAGATTTATTTATTTTTTTAATTTATGTGTCTACATGTATGTATGTGCACAGATGGAGGCTGGAAGGGGGCGCCAGATCTGGAGCTAGAGTATTTCTGGGGTATCTGGCCTCTTAAATGGGTGCTGGGACCTAACATCCTCATGATATAGCAAAAACTCATAACCATTGTGCTATCTCTCCAGATCACCCACCACCAAACAAAAATAGTTTAGAATAGTTATTTATCGGGACATAGTGAGACATCATGTAATTTCAGCACTGGGGAAGCAAAGGCAAGAGTACCGACACAAGTTCAAGGCCAGCTTGATCTAAAATAGTGAGTTTCAAGCCCACTAGGCTACTGTCACACACACACACACACACACACACACACACACACACACACACACAC